AGAGAGAGAGAGAGAGAGAGAGAGAGAGAGAGAGAGAGAGAGAGAGAGAGAGAGAGAGAGAGAGAAATGGGCTCAGGCCAAGTCAGGCGGGATTTGAACCCAGAACCTGACCAAAACAAGATAACTTTAGACAAGTGGTTGTTTTCCTGTTTTTGGTGGATATGAGAGATGAACCTAGGACCTGTAAATAGTCTGTGTATTTGTCAAGGCGAAGTTGTGAACCCCGAGTCTAGACTTTCTTGAGGAGCCAGACGCCGGGAAATTGCAGCTCCTAAGAAGTAATGAGCAGGGCAGCAATTTTCACTTCGACTTTCATTCTTTAAATTGAGCAAGCACTGGAAGCCTAGCTGCATGATTTTTGGTGTAACAAGATGGAGAGCTGGGGTGTAGCCATAGCCAGTGAGATATCATTGTATTGACCTGTCAAAACACAGACTGAGAAGACGACTGATTTCTGAGTTTTGCCGCTGGAATGAATGCCTTGCTGAGATTCCCGTGTTCTGCTGAGTTTTCTACATGTGTGTGTGTGTGTGTGTGTGTGTGTGTGTGTGTGTGTGTGTGTGTGTGTGTGCTTGCTGGTTCGTGCGCCTGTCTGAGTGCTTGTCGGTCTGAGTGTGTGTGCGGCCCGCCAGGGCACTTGGTTGTTTGCTGGTACTTACCTGTGGCCATGACTTCGAGGGTTGCAGTGGGGCAAAACACTCGAGTAGCAGGCAGTAGGCCCGCGACACTTAGGGCAGCGGGGAAAAACAATCAAGTAGCAGGTAGGCCAGTACCACTCAAGTAGCGGTAGATGTGTCGGGAACTGGAGGCCGAGCAGAAGAAGACAAAAGTTGGCATTTTTAGAGGCCCAGTAGCGGTAGGTCTAGGTGTAGGCAGTTGCCAGTCCGAGTAGCCTGAGTCTAGCGCATGTGCGGACGACACCAGAGCCTGCAACGATGTTTCCCTCCAAAAGGGGGAGGTACCGGTTGGTTGGAGGCCGCACGGCCTGGAAGTCACCGCCCAAGAGGCAACTTACCTCACTACTTAGGGAAGGCGAGCGAGAGGCTCAGCCTTAATTGAGGTATGCAAGTTTGGGGTTCATGCTGCTTGAGCGGGCGCTGGAGTAAGGAGTGCAGCTTCTTCTGAAAGGCTACGATCCAAGTGAGTGAGGAATTTAGCTCGGACTCTGTTCACTTCGTTGTTGCTTTCTGCTGGCGTTTTACTAGTGTAGAGTTCCTTGTAGAAATTGGTGGCTATGGCTATGGAGGATAAGGTGTGGTGCTGGAGGAAGGAGTGGTGGTGGAAGAAGGAGCGCTGCTCTACTAGTGCTGCCTGGGAGGAGAAGCGCCTGGGTGACCTCCCTGGCTGTGGAGGAAGACCCCAGGTAGGAGGAGGAGAAGAAGGGGATTAGGGAGGAGAGTGGCGAGGTACCTACCTGGCTATGGTGGACACCGTCTTCATCACCTTGTTAGGCGCTGCATCTCAAGTTCATTCATGTGAATTTGCGCTTCGAAATGGGACAGCATTGTACTTTCTTGTGAATTTGCGCTTCGAAATGGCCAGGGTCGTAACATCATTGTACAACAGGTCATTTTTTTATCCGATGGTTGCATGGTGTTCAGCGCAACACGGTCCCCAGTCTCCTAAAACTTTTTCTTGGTTTTATATTCTGGTGTGGGTGATTGATTATGAAGTATTTCGCTGTGGATGATCAATTATAGAGTATTCTGGTGTGGCTGATCAGTTTCAGTCTGTCATCGGGTTGCCAGTCCAGTGTGAGGTGCTTCAATCAATTCCTGTGAGATGAGTGCTGAAATGAAGCGACCTGTAACATAGATTCCGAATATAGAGGGACCAATTTGGGACGGTAAGACATCTTTGCTGACACGCCCAACAGGTGTCAGGACAGCTGTCCGCCTGAAAAGCATCCATTGTTGGTGCTATTACCCTTCTGTCCGCGCAGATGGGCAGATGCATTGCACCAGATGGAACCAGGAAAAGATGCAGTTGACCTATGTACCTAGACCGGCAAAGGAATGTCGACCTATGTACTTAGACTGGATTCAGTGGAAAGGTTCACTTGGCTTTTCTGTGTGCGGCAAAGGTCTCTCTCTCTCTCTCTCTCTCTCTCTCTCTCTCTCTCTCTCTCTCTCTCTCTCTCTCTCTCTCTCTCTCTCTCTCCCCCCACAAACTTTCGATCACTTGCATCTCCTTTTCTCTCAGATATCATGAAGGTGGCTGGCAGTCTTTCTCTCTCCACACTCCACAATATGTGGTTCTTTTTCTCCCTCAGATATGGCGAAGTCCCGATTATGATCCATCGGGCAGTAATTTTTTGGATTCTCGGACAGAGGTGTGCATAGTACTGCATACAATTGCTGTGCAACTTGCATCAGCATGGGACAATCTATGTCGCTGCAAGGGTCCGTTATCAGCATGGGACAATCTATGTCGCTGCAAGGGTCCGTTAGCTCTGGTGCAGTCTCTGCCACTCTCTGGTAATTTCCTTCTGAGCAGAGGGTTTAATGAGAAAGTTGGCGAAGACGAGTGATTGCATGAGCCGGTTCTCCATTCGTGGCATCTAACAGCTCGTGTAATGTATTTGACCGGAGGCTGCAATTTTTCGTAGTCTTCCAAGCTCTGCAAAGGTCTGCTGGGCCAAAACTTTGCTCCAGTGATGAATTTGAGGTGTCGGGGGAGCAGTGGTCTTCTTTGTTATTTGGTCCACCGCTGCTGTATGGCTCACTCTTTTCTGATAATTGGGACGATGCAGGAGGTTCTGAGAGTATTTGGTGAGGGGCTGTTGGTCCTTGCGCAGAAAGAAAGGGATATGGAACAGCTGGAGGAAGAGCAGGGAAGACATCGACGAGGGAGTGGGATGGACTTCGGAAAGCGCGAAGGGGAAGTACTTGCAGTACGGCGTGAAAGAGTATCGCAAACTGTCAGAAAACAAGGGGGCGTGGAACAGAAAGTGGAAGAGGAAAGACACCCAAGAGGGAGCGGGACCGAGTTCAGGCAGCACCAACAGGGAGAAATGACAGGAGGAAGGGAGAGCACGTCTCAAACTGGCGGGAAGCGAGCGGGAAAAGAATGGATGGAGGAGGAAGAACTCAAGACTAAGCAGTGGAGAAAAGTGTGGGGGGAGACTCGTGAAAGGGCGGAGAAGTTGAGTCAGAAGTGCAAGAGGGTTGGAAAAAGTGGAATGATGCTTAACACGATGTCTGCAAACCCTGAGGAAGAGCCAGCAGTGGCAACATCAGGAAGAAACGTTCAGCAACATGGTGTCGCTGGTTTCGGCCAGCACCACGTCCCAGGGGCAAGGGCAGCGGTACTTGAAGAAGACATGGGCGCTATCAGTGTCCCCCATGGTACGAAAATGCCTTGCCAGGAGTTTAGTTGTATCGTTGCTGCAAAACGAGAGAGTAAAACAGTCCATACAAGAGCTGTTCCACGTGCCTCCATTTCCTTTTCTGGGCATTTCGATGGACCATCTCAGCAATGGAATGCCGTTAGAGCCACTGCGGATCACATTGCGGCATCACCAATAGTGTCTGCCCCTGTTTCCAGTCGTGGTACAGAACCTGGGCGAGGACTAGCTACGACTGCTGCTGCTGGACGGCAGAAGTGTACAGGAGAGGTGGCAGCAACAGCGCCAAGGTTTTCAAAGACTGTTTCTACCGGTGCGGAAGATCCCGGAGCTCGATGGCGAGGTACAACAGTACAAACAGCATCAACTCCAGGAGGCGGTATGGATGCCAGTAGAAGTAGAGGGCGATGGGGAACAGTACAAACAGCATCAACTCCAGGAGGCTGTATGGATGCCACTAGAAGTATAGGGCGATGTGGAACAGTACAAACAGCATCAACTCCAGGAGGCTGTATGGATGTCACTAGAAGTATAGGGCGATGCGATCAGGGGTTGAATGAGGCAGAAACGGATTGGCAACAATGTACAGTCCTCCGTGGTTCGGACAAGACAGAAGGACTGGGTCAAGGGGGATCAGGAGCTGCAAGTCCAAGACAGGAACAGGCTGCAGTGAAACAAACAACACCCATCATTGGAATGAGCAGTCCTAGCATTGCGGAAACTCCACTTCGGAGATCGCATAGTTCAGCAACCAACTGGGAGCATGGAACATCAAGGTATGTTGCTGGTGATTTGGGAAAACCTGTTCATGGGTGGGCAAGCTTGCGGCAAACTGGCAGCTGCTACACACCAGCAGCACCAGCAGCACCAGCAGTACAGAGGACATGTACGACTCCTGTGAGTGTGAAAGCACGTAGACAGGGGTCGCATGCTGCGACAGCTGATTGGCAGCAGGGTTGGACACACCTAAAATTGCGAACCGGCATGGAGCAACATGGGTGGGAGTGGAATGTTGCGCAAGGCAATTGTGTGGATGGCGTTGATAGTACTGATATGAAAGAACCCGATGATCGCGTCCGGGCTTGGCTATGTGAATTGAGGAACCCCAATGACAGTTGCATTGTATCCCGGGATGGTGGTGGTACCTCGTCAAATGTGTTTGGCAGTGGAGGGGACGATCAGAGAACCGTCCTTGGGAGTCGTGAGAAGCACGTGGTCCTTGGAAGTGGTGACGAGCACGTGGCAATCTGGAGCATAACCCCATCACACGATGAGCTTTGGAAGCGAAGAAACTCCACAGACGCGAGGTCAGTAAATCACTTCAGCTTTTCTTTGTTTTTCTCTCAAAACTGGGTGACATTATTGTAGATGTGTATATAACTGGGAAACAGCTAGCAGCTAAGTAAAGCCTTTTTTTTTTTATAAATAATTCGGACCATTTCTCGATGTCTGTGTGTCATCCTTTGCCAGGGGCCATGCTAACCAATCTTCTCTGTATCGGTCCAGCCCATGTGGATCCTCACGCTGATGTCTCAGAAGTTAAAGCACCGGTACATGGCCCCCCAATGGCCCCAACGAAGTTGAGAGTACGATCGATGAACCCTCTCTGAAAATTTTGAAGGCTCGCTCGCGGTCGATGCAATAAATCGACGGCGGGCGGCCTCCAATAGGGGCCCACGGCTGACGGCTGGCATGTAAGAGTCCTGTGCGGATCCTTATACTGGATGTTCGAGCAATTTGTAGATCTTATCCAGTGGGGTTTGACTCAGCCCGGTCTGGTATGCCTCTTCGCTGTACCCAGCGTTGGCTGCCTCAGCTTGCAGCCAAGTGTTTTGATACGAGACTCGAGCATTGAAGCTAGACGATTGAGGACTGATTCCGAGAGGCGGTTAACAGAGGCCGGAATTTTCAGAAATTTGTTGTGCAATTTATAAGAAAAGTTAGAAAAGTTAAGGCATACATAGAGTGAACACCATACTAACTAACAGCAAAAAAATAAAAATAAAATAAAAAATAAAAATAAAAAAAAGTTTAAAAAACAGCATAAAACTTCAAGGCAAAGGTGCACTTTCATGCAAAATTTGTCAAAATTTGCCCAACCCAGGTTTCAGAAAATTTCAGAAATTTCAGAAATGTCAACAGGGGAATTTTGAATGGTCCAAACGACACCAAATTTGACACACAGTAAGCTTGATCTAAACCAAAAACAGGCAAAAAAAAAAGAAATAAAAAACACACAAAAAATTGACCCCCAAACCCTAATATCAGCTTTGGGCCTGTTAGGGGCCCCCCCAAATTTGACCCCCAAACGCTAATTTCAGTTTTGGCCCTTTTGGGCCCGTTCGTCAGGGGCTTGAAAAACGGGGGTCCCCATTAACCACTTGTGGTGCGTCCGCTGCAGTGTTGAAGTACAAATTACAACTCAACGTCTCCCATCCGGAAAATTTTCAGGTGTCTTCATTTTGCAGCCGATGAGGGGCTCTGATGGAGATTTAGTCTGATTTAGTAGATTTACCTACATCATTGACTGAGGCCTCTTGGACAGCGATGACTTGAGACGGTGGAGAGTTAGGAGGAGAGTTTGCAGTAGCTATAGCAGTTAGGAGGTGGAAGCAGCAAGTAGTGGCTGGCTCTGTGCATCAGCTGGGAGTGAAACAATTTGCTGTTTGAGTAGTAGGTCTTCCTCCAGAAGGGCCACTATAGCCTGATGCAGTGTTCTGTCTGATCTTGTCGTGCAGCTTCGTGTTCTCTTCCTGTGCAATATTCAACCTACCTTGTGAAGACCAACCTGCTGCACGACAAGATCAAGGAGAACAGGATAGTCGCTGAGATCTGAGCGACTATGTCCGACAGTCCTCTGAGCAGCTATCCCAAAGATCAAGGGGAAGCTCAGAGGACTGTTGGACATAGTCGCCGAGATCTGAGGCGGCTGACAGATGTAGTCTCTATGACCCCACAATGTCAGCCTGACTAATTTCTTTGGAATAGGTGTCTCGGTGAAGTATCACAATAGGTGCTCAGGGATGAAAATCGGTAGAGGAGGGCAAATCATCACAATAGGAGTAGGCAGGGCGAAGGGGGAGTAGAGAGAGGGCGGGGTAAGCGTTAATATTGCA